ATACTTATTGGGACTAAACAGTAGAACTCACTGCCAGAATTTCTTTAAAAATTTCAAAATACTGACTCTTCCTTCCTTATTCATTTTTGAATCCGTTTGCTTAATCCGCAAGCACATATTCTCTATTCCGGAAAGGCCTTCTCACAACTATCCACTTTAGGAAGTATTAGGATTAGTAGGGAGCACGATATTTATCTGCGAACCCCGAGCTCAGAACTAGTTAAGGGCTCAATACTGTACAATGGCCAAGAAAATGTACAATCATTTGCCTTCGAATATCAAGTCACTTTCATTCTTTCCCGCATTTCGCAAAGCTCTGAAATCATACTTACTGGAGAGAGCCCTATATGCGGTAAACGACTTTTTTGTTGATGTTTAATCATGAACAATTTAGAATTTTAATTTTAATATTTTGATCATCTCACACACTGGTTAAAGGTCTAGTATTTAATATTTTATAACTCTTGATTTTATGTTATTATAACATGATTTCCATTTACAGTTTTCCTTTTGTAAAATTTTCTAGATACGCCTGTGTTCTGCAATGTCCATATATGTTTTATTTGTAATTTTATGACGTAAATTTTTTTTTTGAATTGATTTGTATTGTATGACATTTTTTGTATTATTTGTATATTTGTTTTTGAGCTTTTTTTTTGTTTTGCTTTGTCGATGAAGCTGTTTTGGCTTTTTGTACAATAAAGCGTTGTTTTTTTTTAACCACGATTCCTCTTGACGGATGCTAATCAATGGCCAAAATGGCATTTCTCGCAAAATTTGAAGTATAATTAGTGGAAAAGTAAAAAATTTGTTTACTTTTTCTACTAATTGAAAATGACTACCACTAATTTAAACGTTCTGAATGCTTACATTGAAATTAAAGGAACTTCTAAGCTAATTGAAACCACTAATTCGGAGGTTCTGAATGAATCTTAAGGGCTCATTCTGTCCCGTTTACGAAAAATTCCTACCTATATCCTATATTTAGATATTTGTAAGTTTTTTAAATTAATTTATTGCAAACGCTGGAGAGAGGGGGCGCTACTATCAATTTTTGCCCCGGTTCAAAAAAATTGTAGATCCGGGGCTGTAACACAGTACCTACACAACATAATAAACTAGTTTCATGTGAAATCCGGTTGCTTAAGTTAACTGGACTCTGAAGTCAACAATTCTCATAAATAAAAATTGCTAAAGCATTACGTGAATTATAATAATAAATAAATTATAATTACAGTACAATATCTAAGGTATATTAAACGGTTTACAAATATTGTCGGAGTATTGTCAACTATATTTGAAATTAATTTATAGTAAATTACTTATTATTTTTATTATTAAAACTAATCTAATAGATCTTAATATATCTCGATAATGTGCAATAAGTATTAAGATTTTTATTATCACAAAATTAATTTGTTAGTTATAAAAATAGATATGACTTCCATCAAAACACTTTATTTTTATAACTTTTCTAATCTTTTATTGTTTTAGTGCGTAAAATTTAGTACCTAAATTTAGGTGCGATATTACGATTACGACATAGAGGAGTGTGGGGTAGTTTGGTACTGTGGCTTATGAGTATTGGTATTCTACCCATTGCGCTACCTTGTCAACTTAGAGAAAACTTTATATCGCTCACACTGTAAATTTGTGTTGTTTGTTCTCACATAAAACTAAAACTGTTTGCATAAATTACATTTTCTTTAGGTACCTACATTGATTTACTCATGGAACATTTTTTCGAATAATAAATCATTATGAATTATTGTTCATCTATAAAGATTATACTATTTAAAAAACGCACGTTAATATTTTTTTATTGTATTTACAAAATATTTACCACTATATTATTCAAAATATATAATTATTAATAATTTAAAGTTACTAACCTGGACTAAATTGAATTACACTTAACTTTCATTGATATCAAGAGTGTACCTATATTGGATTAAAACTGGAAACTATACAAACAATTAATACTGGCATGAAATTCTATAAAATCGATAAACATATAGCTATATAGTCGGATTTTGCTTGTTGGTCTGTGACCTTTACACTACAGTAAAAGCGAAATTATATAGCTGTAAAAAATTTAGGTAAACCTACCTACCTGCTACCTATGTTAATTTTGATATCAAAATAAAGGTTACTGAGTAATATGAAAACCTATTACTTATACTTATAAGATACTTTTGTATAGAAAGAACATATTGTCATCAATAATGATTTTAATTAATCTTGATTTTTGCAAGAAAACTATTTTATACTTATAATTTTTGATTTTCAACAAGATACAGTAAATTGTTAATTTAGTCAATCATCACTTGTATTGTTAGTTGCATAACTATTAACCATAATTGTGCCATAATATTACAATTTTGAGTATGAATTTTAATAGTACGAGTGTTAATTATACATTGTCTATTTGAAAAGTAGAGTATTATTTATCTTGAGTAATGGAAACCAGTATGAATGATCTAAAATGTATATCAGAGGAGTGAAGGAACAAAAATTACATCCTACATATTCACACCCCGCCTTATCTCTTTAGAGGTTACCAACCCCAACTTTTATTCTTTAATACTAATCTAGCTGGTGTGGCACATCGGTGAAATGCTCGTTGGTTTCTCTTTTCAGTCTTATAGACTTGGTGTATTTTAACCGATTTTTTAAAATTCCGACATCAGCGCTCTGTACGGCAGAGATCAGAACTGCCCTACTCAGGTAACTATAAAACATAGGCCGCCTATTTTATTTCACAACAACTTAGTTACAGTTCATGTTAATCCAATAGGAATCGTGGCCATTTCATAAAATATAAGTATTTTGTTTTTTAATAGGGCAGTTAGTGAAACTATAAACTTCTCAGGTATGTTCAAGCTTGTGTGATGTAACACTGTTTCGGGTAGTAAAAATTAAATGAAAAAGAACGATTCGCGTTATAAAATTACCGAAAAAATGTTAACACAAAAAAAAACATAATTGCGTGGTTGTTGTGTGCTCTAACATTCAATACAACTCTCCTGGAACAACATTTTATAAGTTCCCAGCTTTCTCACACCGATTTGATCAAAAAGAAAAATGTGGATTCATTACATAATCAAAAAATTAAATACGCATACTCTATGAGGATAAAATATAATTATTTGATCAATATTAATAATATTAATGGTATACTTTTTTTAATCAACTGACGCTTATTTTTTTTATGAACGTCTTCTAAAATTATAATAATGTTCCTTTAAAAAAAAATTATACAGCCTAAATAGCTCCAGTTATGTCCCCACTAGCAAAACCGGTGCGTAAAAGCCTTGTTTGTATCATATACAAGGATAAAACTAAGCTCTAAAATACTGTTTAGTAATAGGCTTGGTGCATTCTCTGCCGGTGCTGCCACCATCGAAGAATATCGTAAACAATCGGTATATATGTTGATGGCAGATGCCGAATTCGGCCTATGTCCGAAATAATTAGACATATGGCGATTTGTCCATTCTAAACTTGCCAGATGCGTGCAACTTCGTGGTTATAAATAGTCTTTATATAACTTCTTTGCGGAGGAGGTTTGTAAATATAACAACAAATTTGGATAATATAACAACAAAAGATTAACATGTTTGTTGAAATATGAACGAAATTTTTGAAGGTACATAACGAAATTTTATAAGGTACATATTCATAAAAAATGTAAACACTAGTTTTAATTAAAAAAAGAATATACCATTAATATTGCAAATTATATTTTATCTTCTCATACTATATGTCTATTTAATTTTTTGATTATGTAACGAGCACTTTGTTTACAGTACGTCTGCTGGATCTGTGTCTATGAAAGGAATGCGGACAAAAAACATTTAAATAAACAGCAATATATTTTATACGTCGACTTGACGAGTACGTCACCGCAAATCGCAATGGGACGCGTCGTCTAATTTTTTACGAAAAACATCGAGAGAATATCGTTTCCCCTCTCACGGATACCCCGTAGCTACAGAACGGAAGACGTACTGTACTCACTTGTTTCGTCGACTCGAACTGCTTGAATCCATTTTTGCTTTTGATCAAATCTGTGTGAGAAACTTTGAAGAATGTTGTTTCGGGAGAATTGCATATCCGGGAAAGTTGAGGTTATTGATTGTTATTGCACCCAACAACCACATAATTACGCCCTCCTTTACGAGTTAACATTTTTTCGGCCATTTTATTAACATTTGAAATTGTCAGAAAACAACGCAACGCCCAGTTCGAGTTCCTTTTCACTTAATTTTTACTGACCCGAAACTGCGTTACATCCATGGGTTACATCACATAAACCTCGTACTTGAGTGTTTTATAGTTTCAATAACTGCAAGAGCAAAAAAAAACAAAATACTTAAATATTATTTGATACGACTTGATGACAAAGATACGATTTCAATATTATGTTAATGCGACCAACATGAACTGTAACCGGGACGGCGTGAAATACATAGCGAAAATTTCTGATTTCTGCCGTATAGAGCGCTGCGATCGGAATTTTTGAAATCAACTGAAATGCACCAAGCCCTATATTTCTGAGAACGGTTCTTCTCGATTGCTGCTTTTCAACTTGTCACTCTGTATAAAGCACAATGCCTTAAACAGTATGTTAACCATAAAAACGAACATAAAAATAAACGTACTGTTTTAAAACAAAAGCAGTTACATAAGCAGGAAGGAACCCATAAAATTTTGTAAGATTCATTATGCTAACAAAGTGAATGTAGGTACCTAAAAATTATAATGAACACTTATAAATTAAGTGCAAATCCTTTAATTTTTATAATGATCTCCCCATTGTTTTGGAAGCTATTAATATTTTCACACTTCTTTGTCTCACTACATGTACATTGTCTGATTATATACATGTCTCAATTTTAGATATTTACTACACAAGTTATATTTTCCATTTACTAATGATTAAGTTTGGTGTGTATTGGAACAAACATTAAATATTAAGTATAATTATTTAAACTCACCTGAATAGTGTAACATACGCGTGTATTTTCACCAGAGTAAGAAGTTAATATTTAATCAATAATAAAACGGCAAACAATTACACAATAAACAAGTATTACACTCGCGTAGAATTCTTGAAACGTGCGTCAACCTTCGTCGGATATTGTTCCCTAAAAAAAGTTGCGCGAAGAGGTAAATAACAGTCCACTTTCACGTCTACTCATTATAGAAACATTTTAATATTCATTAAATAGCGGCTAGGAAACTACGTAGGTACAGTCATGGTACAGTATATAATACACCTCTGGTCAGCAAACGGCACTTAACGACACTAACACTAAACCACACTCTTTGGTTAATAACACCGGAATAAGTAGATATAAAAAATTTAATAAGAACCAAGCTAGTTGTTGTTCAGGTACTTACTACTTTATCGGCTAAAAGATAAATCTATTGACTTAACTGTATATATGCTTATTTTTTTTTCTCTCGCATAGGTATACATAGAACGTTGGCCGTAATAAAAAATACCGGTTACACAATAATTCTCGAATGAATGCATGCATGCATATAGACATTCTCCGCTATATGCATAAGAATTTCTAGAGAATTTTTTCCTTGTACGCGAGTTGTTACTTTATTGTTGTTGGTAGCTAAGGACGTATTAATAATAGACGGTTATCCAATTTTATTCTTTCGGGTTTTGTTGCTCGTTGTTAAACGAAATGGCGGTGGATATATGTCCGCTAGTCGTAGTGAAAACGTCTACTTTGTAACTTAAACAAATCAACAATAAAACTAGTTATAAACATTTATAGAGATGGATAACTTTAATTTGTAATTTTATACATCTGACTATAAGCTTGGCCAATATACAGGGTGATAACGAATTACTTACACATACCACCATTGTATTGCCTTTTATCGTATGATATAGCAGAATGTTGAATGGTTGAAGTTACTTCAAACCATCCACAAAAATGAGTCAACAAAAATTCGTTTGCTGATTCACTGAGTGATATACCAAAAATAATTTAATCAATTTAATATTAAAATAATTTTATGAATGAACTTTTGTTTAAAATGTCAAAGTAATTCTTGTTTTTTGTCGAAATTGAGGGTCGCATAAAAATATGATGGTTAAATATGTCCAATTGCCTTATGAAAATTAAAGTAATATGGGTATGTACTCATAAAAATATATGGAAGTTTGGCCTAGAATTTTGAACATCCTGTATGATTTAAGATTACGATATTTATAGCAAAGTTAAGTATATACCATCTAAAGTAAACACCTAATATAGTTTTGATTTCAGGACAGTTCTTGTATTTGTAATATTTTTTTTAATGAAGGTTGAAAAATATAATTTTTTTATTTATTTATAAATATTTCTGAAACTATCAAAATATATTTATTCATATATTAGGATTATGTAAAGTGATCTGAAATGAAGCCAAAAAATCATCTCGATCCACCCACCCTTTTTTGAACAATAGAAGTTAAAATATTTTCCTGAAATACATCCTGGTACATACTTTAGGTTTACACTTAAACAAAATTCCCAAGTTTTTTATTCTAGGAGCTACAGGTGCTCGATGTACTATTGCCGGACCCTGTATAGAAAAATATACCGAATGTTATTAAGAAAAATCAAAATACTTTTGATAAACCACAATTTGTGCCTAAATTTCGAAATTATTGGATAATGAACTGGCGCATGGCGGTCTGTGTTTATACAAGGACTTTGTTGTTATTCGGTATATACAGGGTGAGTTTTAAATAAGTACAAATATTTTCAGGGCTGGTAGAACTCGATAAATAGGCCAGTCAATCTGGAGGTTGAGGTGGAAAAATTAGTAACCAATCGATCTCCTATCAGATAATGATCTTCTATTTAACCCCTCAAAATCCCATTCGGTCCCAGTGGGGGAAGTTTGAAAAAAACCTCCGCTATCTTGGATTTTTTCGTTTTTTTTTTCAAATATCTCCGTTTGCATAACTTTTTTCAAAAAAACTAAAGATATATGTTTTTTGTAGAGAATTAAATTTAGAATATTTTACCTTTAATCATTTTTTTCTAAAATAAATAGTAATACTTAGAGATATTTTTTACTATAGGTTTTATAAATTTTCCAGTTTTTTTAAACCAATCAACTATAATTTTTACGTTAACAGTATAGTGTTAATACGGATAAACCAAGTATAAATTTAAGCGTTAAAACAATGATTAAAAATAACGTTCAAATATTATTTATTGAATGAAATTATTGTTAAAAAAATTATTATTAAATTAAAGTTATTAAATAAAATCTGCTATGACGTCATCCTGAGCGTCATTTTCGTCCTCAACTAAAATACAAAAGTTTGTGCAACTGATTCCGGAGCACTAACCACACTTTGAAGGACATTTAAGACCCAGTCTTCTACAAGAGCAATTTTTAGAGCACTGCCTCACTCTTTGCAATTGCAAAAAAATAATTTTAGTAAGTCAGGAGGCGGCGCCACATCTTCGAAACGCAACATATTGTAAAGTATCCAACTTGTTAGCAATCCATTCTTGAATCTAAAAAATACAACTTATAATATTTTCTATAATAGATATCTCATTACAGTCAGCTGAAAGTATGTCCTGAATAAATGGAGTTTTGCAAAGTTCTCAGTTGGAGGAAAATTAGCTAAATTAAAGGTAGTCTTAAGAGCTTGTCTTGATCTAATCCTCTTGTATGGAGTGTATCTCCGATGACTGATAATATTTAATACAGCTTGGGCAGTGATATAACTTTAAAAGATAATTTAATCCTGACTGAAACAAATCAAAAATGGGCCTGTCGGTACTGGAAAAAACATGACGATCTTTGTCAATACCTCCACGTATTTTTAGAAATGCTAACAAAGATGACTTGTTTCAGTCAGGATTAAATTATCTTTTAAAGCTATACATAGAAGCTATATCACTGCCCAAGCTATATTAAACATATTAACCATCTGAGATACATTATATGCAATACGATTACATCAAGACCAGCCCTTAAGACTACCTTAATTTAGCTAATTTGCCTCCAACTGAGTACTCTGCAAAACCCCATTTACTGAGGACATACTTTCAGGTAACTGTAAAGATATATCTATTATAGAAAATGTTATCAGTTGTATTTTTTAAATTCAAGAATGGATTGGTATTTAGATCCTTTATAATATGGATGGAAGAAAAATCAAAAAGGTAATCTCAGGGGGGTGGCGCCCTAACCTAACCTACCAAAAATTAATTTTTTGCAATTGCAAGTTGCAAGAGAAAAAAAATGCTCTTGTAGAAAACTGGATCTTAAATTTTCTTCAATGTGTAGTCAGTGCTACGGAATCAGTTGCACGAACTTTTGTATTTTAGTTGAGGACGAAAATGACGCTCAGGACCTATGCTCAGGACACTCAGGATGACGTCATAGCAGATTTTATTTAGTAACTTTAATAATTATTTTTTTAACAATAATTTCATTTAATAAATAATATATAAACGTTTTTTTTAATTGTTTTAATACTTAAATTTATACTTGGTTTATCTATATTAACACTATACTGTTTACGCAAAAATTATACCTGATTGGTTTAAAAAAACTGGAAAATTTATAAAACGTATAGTAAAAAATTGTTCTATATCTATTACTATTTATTTTAGATAAAAAATGATTGAAGGTAAAATATTCTAAATTTAATTGTCTACCAAAAAATATCTTTAGTTTTTTCGAAAAAATGCAAACGGATATATTTGAAAAAAAAACGAAAAAATCCAAGATGGCGGCGGTTTTTTTCAAACTTCCCTCACTGGGACCGAATGGGACTTATGAGGGGTTAAATAGGAGCTCATTATCTACATATTCCTGTTCCCGAGATTGGTTGGTTACTATTTTTTTCCATCTTTACATTACATATAATTCTCGGTTACGTTTACTGGTCTATACCGGGTGCGTCTCAAAGTGGCTCACCCCCTTTTTTATATTTTTAAATTTGGTATGTTAGTATATGACATAACTTAGGATTGATTGACGTATTCAGTTGTTTTCGGTCACTTCCTGTTTCGTCGGAAATGACTACAACTTTTAATTTTGAAATGGCACCCAGTGGCGCATCTAGGGATTGACTCTGGGAGGTCTAGTGCCAGTATTTAGGTAAAGTACCGTATGATCGAATAAGAACGGCGTCAGCGATGGCTATGAAATGAAGATCGCTGTCATTTTATATGTAAATTTATATGGGAAATGTCATCGATCGTCATTTCCCAGCCAACTGGACGCCGTTTTTTTCGATCATACGGTACCTACTAGGTTTAAGTTGAATTTACTGTAATGTATTGTGACTATGGAAAAAAATAACTTTGATGGGTCTGAATTTTTTATTTTAATTGGTTATTATTCATTTCTTTTGTGGCAATTTTATTTTAGACCACATTTTAGATTACCCCGATTTTACTCTCTAGTATTTTTTTACTTTATTCGATAGAAAATGGCTCTGAATCGAAGTAGAGGGGTACTACTCTCTAGTATTTTATTATTTTATTCGATAGAAAATGGCTCTGAATCGAATGACATATATATGTCAACTTTTGACATATTCGCTCAAAAACAAATTGTATTTTAAATTTTAATCTAAATCTAGACTGCCATGACTGTGTTAAAAATACTAATTTTTAAGCAAGGAGCCTTAGAAAAATAGATTTGATCGTCTAATGTTTTGTGTCTTGTTCTGGCCGGTTAAAAGATGCCCAAATAGTATTTTTAAATCATATCTAATTTTTATCTTTTTTTTTATTTTCAAAGTAAAATAAATGGGTTATTTTGGACTTATTTGAAAAACGGTACAAAGAAAAAATTATGTTCCTTTTTATGTTCCTAAAAATATTTGTGCTTATTTGAGACTCAACCTGTATAAATTGATTTTGAGCTTTAAGGTCTGAGGATGTAGTCTTATTTCGAAAACAGAATATCAGTGAGTATTATAGAAAATCCTCAAAATAATAAATTGTTTAAATAATTCTAAACATTTCAGGATTTCAGGTAACAATATAATTATGTTTTTATTATTTGCATAATATAATATGATCAAAACGATTTAAAATTATGCCTGCTATATTTGATAACAAAAAGAATTTTTATGTAAAATGACATTAGAATATTTTTAACTGAGGAAGCCAAAACTGCTTGATCATAAAACTTGTTGATATCCCGGTACATAAGAATATAAGTGTAATTATTTTATTTTATATCTTACATACCAGCTTACTCACTTTCTATATATTTCACTGAATTCAATTTAAAGTTTTATATAAAATAGAACACAAAGTTGACAACTATAATACCGTCGCCCGGCATATAGACACAACTAAAAGAAAATCGTCAACGCTTGACTCATTTTATACTAGGTAATTACTATTCTATTATGTCCCAATAAAAATACACAGCATTACAAAAAAATCTTTGGAAAGTATGACAAATTTTCTATTGTTTTTTAATTTTAAAATTTAATTAGCTTATTTTATATAAAAATAAGTGAAGTAGCTATATTTATAAAAAAAGATTACATTAATTTTTAACTAAATTAATCTGATGATTCTAGAAGGGTTTTTGATAAATTCACGATTGTTCATTTTTATTAGATTTGGAGATAAGGTATGATCAAAAATTCTTCTACTTTTACTGCTAAAAAATTCTAATCTTTCTAAAACGACTAAGTGTGGGTTTACATTTATCCGTAATATGGCTCGTCTGTCGTTAATTTTATGGAATTTTATTGGTTTATTTCAAAAATGATGGGTTATACATAAATATGATTGGAGCGACAGAATGACAAACGACGCATTACGGATGCATATAAACTCACCTTTATTTTTTCCTGTTATCATACAGGATCATAAAACTTTTTGGTTACAATGTATTTTCAAAAAAATGAATATATTTGGAAATACCGTATGATAAAAAAAGGGGTCAGCGATGGCTATGAAATGAAGATCGCTGTCATTTTATATAGGGAATGTCATCGATCGTAATTTCCAAGCCAATTGGGCGCCGTTTTTTTTATCATACGGTAGTTGAACTTGTTTACTTTTTTGGAAATATATATTAGAATTGTAATTGGGAACGGAAGAGTTAAAAAAAATTGTGAATATTTTTCCTATCCACCAACAAAATTTTAGCAAAATTTTAAACTTATTTTTTGAAAATCAAAGTTTTATTGCAGGTCTGTTTAGAATTAATAATTTTAGATATTTCTAAAAAATTAATGGCCTAAATTTGGAGTATTAAATTGAAAACTAAATATTCGTAACATGATTTTTATTACAAAAAAATAAAGGCGGAATAAATTAAAAAGTACAATAAAAAAGTTTTACATTTTTTTTATTAATTATTCCCATATATTAGCCTAATAAAATAATTAAATGAAGGAGTCTTATTCTGCACACGTGATAACTTACAAAAAAAATTATCGATAAACATTAAATGTCGTAATACTTTGGCCTAGTGAATGTACGGTCTCTTTATCCAAATCAAATGGCAGTCTGCCGCACATCGACCTCATATATATCAAAATATAGTACAACGAATGCATGAAGGAATTGAGGAATGCAGCGATATAAAATAAATATAAAACATAAAAACAAATTTAGAAACACTTCCTGTGTACGATGGAGGGGCCGGATTCGTCGTATTCTTGTTTGGAGATCCACATCTGTTGGAAGGTGGAGAGTGAGGCGAGGATGGAGCCTCCGATCCATACGGAGTATTTCCTTTCTGGGGGCGCGATGATCTTGATCTTCATCGTCGATGGGGCTAAAGCGGTGATTTCCTTCTGCATACGGTCGGCGATACCGGGGTACATGGTGGTACCTCCGGAGAGCACGGTGTTGGCGTACAAGTCTTTCCTGATGTCTACGTCGCACTTCATGATGGAGTTGTAGGTGGTTTCGTGGATGCCGCAAGCTTCCATACCCAAGAAGGAAGGCTGGAAGAGGGCTTCTGGGCAACGGAACCTTTCGTTTCCGATGGTGATGACCTGACCGTCGGGCAATTCGTAGCTCTTCTCCAAGGAGCTGGAGCTAGCGGCGGTGGCCATTTCTTGTTCAAAGTCCAAAGCAACGTAGCAGAGTTTCTCCTTAATGTCACGGACAATTTCTCTTTCGGCTGTGGTGGTGAAGGAGTAACCCCTTTCGGTGAGGATTTTCATGAGGTAATCAGTCAAGTCACGACCAGCCAAGTCCAGACGCAAGATGGCGTGGGGAAGGGCGTAACCCTCGTAGATAGGTACTGTGTGGGAAACACCGTCTCCGGAATCCAGGACGATACCGGTGGTACGACCAGAAGCGTACAGTGAAAGTACGGCCTGGATAGCGACGTACATGGCGGGTGTGTTGAAGGTTTCAAACATGATCTGGGTCATCTTTTCTCTGTTGGCTTTGGGGTTGAGAGGGGCTTCTGTGAGAAGTACGGGATGTTCTTCGGGTGCGACACGGAGTTCATTGTAGAAGGTGTGGTGCCAGATTTTTTCCATATCGTCCCAGTTTGTTACAATACCGTGTTCAATGGGATATTTTAGGGTAAGGATACCTCTTTTGCTTTGTGCTTCATCGCCTACGTACGAGTCTTTTTGGCCCATACCGACCATGACGCCTTGATGTCTGGGACGACCGACGATTGAGGGGAAGACGGCACGAGGAGCGTCGTCTCCGGCGAATCCGGCTTTGCACATACCGGATCCATTGTCTACGACTAATGCGGCAACTTCTTCGTCACACATGATTGGTTAGTACTGCAAAGAAAGAAAATAACATTTAGTGTTTGCTACGAATTTACTAAGAAAGGAAAATTTAATAGGCGTGGGTTCAGAAATTTCCTTATTAAGATACCTGGCGATTGATCAAACGTCACGCAAGATGACCAAAAATAGAGTCAAGAATCAATAACGTATTTTAAATGACTAAACCCACGCCGTATATGAACAAAAGGCGGTGCTTATTGAATGAATTAAATGGAACTCTAGAAATTGTCATTATAAATTCGAACGGCTGCATCGGTGAATGAAAGTCCCCTGGTTTAAAAAAAAACTAACCGTTAAAAACCGGTATTCGATATATCGCTCGCCCTGTGAAAAAGAAAAGATATTTTAAAAGCTTAAATTATCTTCTTGCGAAAATAGAACATTTATTTTAAATAAAAAAATCGTAATTTTAAAGAAAAATTCCAAAATATAAACCTGTTACAGCTTTCGAAATTTTAAAAATCCATGGGAACAAATAACTTATATCACTTGACAATAATAGCACTTAAATCACAGTAAAAGCACAAGATAAAAACCGATATAGCCACACCCGATATAATCGCAACATAATTTTTCAAAACGTACACCACCATTGTTCACAATTATTTTCTAGAAAACTTACTTTGATTTGGTTTAAATGTATAAATATATAAAAACTTATTGGTTAAAGAGGTACAGCGAACTTGCTGCACTTACTCTAAAATATCACAAGAACGTTTTACGAATGCTGGAGGAAAAGACCGTTGCAAACCATTTTATAATTATTTGCCCCTCCCACCACTCAGGCCCGAAACGCGCAATCTCTGTCGACAGCCGAACCAATAGTAACAAAGATTACCATATAAGGCAGTAATTTCATCGATTTTCCCCGCTCTAATCGAAAAATTAAGAGTTGGCCAAAGAGTTGGCATACTTTTTTCTTTGGAATATTCATTGAAATTGAAATGCGAGTTTTTAGAAACGACGATAATACGATAAAAATCATTATTCTGTGCCAGAAAAGTCTATTTCCTTATTTAGTAAATAACCTCGCCAAGTTTAAAGCACGTAAAATCTCCACAAATGTCGTTGCCTCTCGCATTTTCCACTTTAGTTTTTATCGTTATTATTTGAAGCTAAACAATAACATTTTAAGTTATAAAATTATCCATATTTTAAAATTAATTTTTCAAAATTAAAACTAACCTAGTGCAACCTCTTAGCATCGAATCAAAATAAACAAAATATCGTAACTTTCGGTCAATGTATTCGGGCTATTTTAAAACAGCCACTTGCACTGCGGGGTAAAAATAGAACCTGCATTGAGCGTACGAACAGGTGGTGCGTCTTGAAAATCACAGCGATTATAAAACGCCGGTATTAAGTATATTTTTTCTTGTAAATTGCTTTTTCGGTTATTTAAAGAACTATAAAAAAAGGGGTATACCAATTAAGGTTTTAAATTTTAAATTAGCAGTTTACAACAAAAAATTAAATAGAAACATTGTTATTTAAATTATTATAAATCTTACCGTTTAAACAAGACACGTCACAAGACTACAACGAACGACTAGCGAATGGGAAGAAGCCGGTTGCGATTTCGAAGAACTAACTCTGAATTCTAGGGAAGGTTGGGTGAATAATTCAAATTTTTTTCTCTTTAAATTAGGTTTATCAATTGTCAAATCATATAAGCGACATTCTTAATGACAATTCGATACCAGTTTTGTCAAAAAAATTTCCTTGTTTCATATTTCCATGGAAATGTTTTATCGGCGTGCCAAGACCTCCCCTCGGAAATAGCGACATGGGATCGCCCGGACCCCACTTACCTCAATCACCAACGTTACCATATTTGGGCATAAAGAGCGCAAACCATTCCGATTGGTTGAATTCGAGTCTTGTAGCAAGGAAGATTAGATAAAGTTCTCGCAGAGGTGCCGTTGTTTTGCATTTTTCGCTATTAATCATAATAATATAAAGATAAATGAAATATTTTAAAAAGTAACTGTAATGGAATTTTACGATAACACATATTTTTACTGTAAAACACTAATTAAACATGTTTTCTTTTTACGGATTCGAAGCTAAAAAATACAGATTCATGTTTAAATTATTTTTATTATTTACACGAACAAGAGATGATTTGTTTTTATTTTAGTAAATCGTGTAATTATAAATATCATCAAAAATTTAAACTTGTGCTTTAAATTATTACATAGAAGATAAAAATGTGATTGAGAATGTGGAAATTAATGTCAAAACAATTCGAAACCGTTAAAATGTTAATGAGAAGCGGCAACATTGTTGAACAGCATGCGACAGTGGTCGGTGGTCGGCCAACGACCAACACGAACACAAGCAATAATAGGCAGCTACCGCAGTCGTTTTTATTTTTGATTCATCTTTTTGGTTGCGACCTCGTTCACCGACCTTGAAAATCTTATGTCACACGCTCCTCATCATACATTCTTGACATTGTCAGTCATTTTTTATCTTTATAGTTCGAAATTAGTAAAAAAAAAGCCACAAGGCTTTATTTACCTTATTTTTTTAAGAAACGAACAAATTTTTAGCTATTTTTTTTCAGTTCAAATTAAAAAGATTGATAAATATACATATCTAGATATCTATTGCAACATAGTACAATTTGATCGAAAAAAAAACGGTCTTATCGATGGCTATGAAATGAAGATTGCTGTCATTTTATAGGTATGTAAAATTATATGGGGAATGTTATCGATCGTTAATTCCAAGCCAATTGGACAACGTTTTTTTTTCGATCATACGATATACGATATTTCATATTCGATTATAAGAAAATAAGTACGAAATAAAAACCGTTTATAATACCTACAAACAGGGTGTATTAATTATGATGTTATCGAAAATAAGTTTATGTGTAGATAATAAATTCAGTCTAGCCAATAAGAATATAAAGAAGTCATCTTGATATTAGTATACAGGGGGTTTCAAAAAATATGTGCCACATATATGTGCGACATATTCACCAGTGACGTGTGCGCCACTGACTTTTTTCTCTTGTTAGCAAAACTGTTTAACTATATAAACCGTTTAATACCGATTGAAAGTTATCTCTTGATATTTTGTTTGTCGATTTTAGTCTTCTTGACGAGATAAACCCAATTTTATTAATTCGTCTTAATACAAGTCTAATAGCAACCTTTAAAAAATGTAATGTCATTAACTGGCCAAAGTGTCAAATAAGCACAAAGCACACATTGATTCCTCATCAAAAATATGAGAAAAAGTTCCTATAAAAATGGGTGCAGAAATGCATAGTTTTTAAAGTACAAGACATTAAAAGTTTTAAAAAATAGGTCTTTTGTAATTATTTTAAAAAGGTACCATTATTTTTTGAGTTTGCTGTAGGTAGCACTACACATCAGTGTTATAAATTTTAATGAAATTAATTAATAAATTAGATTAAATGAATAATTTATTAATTTTATTTCAATTTTATTAATTATTGTGATTAATAAAATTGCGTTTATCTCATCACGAAGATCGAAATCGACAAAATTGTCGATTTCAATATTCAAGATACAATTTTTGATCGGTATTAAATCACCTACACAATTTTGCAAAAAAAAGTCAGTGGCTTACATGTTTTTTTAATATTCCAGTGATAACCCATATGCACGTCCCTGGTGAATCTGTCGACACTTTCTAGCATTAAAATATGCAGGGTGTAACTTCGGTAGTATATTCTGCAGATAAAAATAAGTAAAAAACTTCGTATAGAAGTATGTTTTAAAATGCTTAGTTTCGGAGATACAGGGTGTAGAAGTTTCATAGTTATTTCGATTTTTTCCAAAAAAAAAAAATTTCTGAAGTAACGTCGATGAAAATTGGTGTCTGGGAGTGTTTTGACATGAGAAATTTGATTTTCGTGTCAATATGACACCTATTTGTAGGGGGCGCCACCTACACGTGTTTTTACTGTTTTGAAGAGTAATAACTTTTCGTCCGTACCTGTATAAATCAACTGGATGAAGAAATATAGATTTCCGTGATTTTTTACGTAAAAAATGTTTCTTGGTAAAAATCTCTACCTGCAACCCTTCTCAAGATATTTAAAATAGTAATAGCCTTGTTTATATACAAGGGTAATAGTCAATACATGCCATTATTGACAAAAAATAAGCATGTTGAGTAGATAGTTATTTGACTGAAATTATTAATTTGGGAATTTTTATTTTTTTAAAATTAATCATAAATTTTTCTTCGAAAAACATTTCAAATTTATGATTTTAGTCTATTTGGTCAACATAATAATGTTTAATTATTTATGTCAATTATGAGAGGTATTGATAATTTCGATTTCAAATATCTCGAGAACCATTACTCGTAGCGATTTTTACCAAGAGACCTTTATTACGTAAAAGACGCCATAAATGTATATTTTTTTACTCAGTAGTTTTGTACAGGTACGGACAAAAAGTTATTACTCTTCAAACGAGTTAAAAAATATGTAGGTGGCGCCCTCCAGAAGTAGGAGCCACATTGACATCAAAATCAAATTTTTCATGTCAAAAAACTCCCAGTCACCAATTTTGATCTAAATATTGACGTTACTTCAGAAATGATTTAGAAAAAATCGAAATAAAAATGAAACTTCTACACCCTGTATCTCCGAAACTAAACATTTAAAGACATACATTTATACGAACTTTTTTACTTATTTTTATCTGAAGAATATGCTGCAAAGTTTCCGGAATACAGTTCGGACCACCCTGTATAACACTTATACTAATTTTCACCCTCAAAATTTCATTCGAATCACTAAAAGCACTTGAAAGAAAATTATAATAAATTAAAAAACAATGAAGACTCTAACTCCCTGTAGCTACGAAACAAAGCAGAATCGGACCTATGACCTATGTTGATATAAAAAATAAATCTTGAGGATAATAAATAATAAACAACAATTTGTGAGGAATCTTCCCACGAGAGATGGCACAAGTTTTTTGAAACACCCTGTATTCGTAGATATTATTTAGTAACCAATTACATATATATTATTACGGAATCTAAAAACAGGTTTTAATATAAAAGTAAAAGCTTATACTTATACCTCTGTATATAAAATTATTTTTTTTAACTAGTCCAGCTTTGTTTTGATTCGCATCATTTTAAGGAACTCCAGTTTTGATTGCTTTCAAGGGTCCTTTTCTGGAAATGAAAAAGCTACCGAACCAACTGTTTCCTAAACACCCTGTATATAGTACGGGCTTTACTCATCAGGTATGGTGCTTAAATTGTACATACATATAACTACCACTATACGTTTTATTTGTATATTGATGCGGTTATGTCCGCTGGTTGAATATGCATAAAACATGCTGTCAGACAGGACAGGGCCAAATGCATCTTTAACAAACAGGAAATTAAACTTTTATAGTGGTTGCCAGCGCCCTTGGCTGATTATTTTATATGGACGATTGCATGCCTCTCTACAATCTATGACCAAAATAAATATTGAAATTAAATGTTCCTTAAACGCTTATACTCGTAAACTTTGCCTGTACAAGGTGTTCCAAAAATGCATGGCCATCCTATAAACATGGGTCCGAAAATAGATAATTTAAAATATACAGAAGATGTTAGAACCTTACAAATAGAGGTACTTTGTAATTCTCTTTTGCTGTAGGTAGCAATATACAGGGTGTCCCATTTTGGTTGAAATCATACTGTATCTCCGTTATTAGTGAAGATAGAAGGATGCGATTTGCACAGACCTCTCCCACTTTTTTGTCAAACTGAAGATGCTGTAAACATTTTTCATAGCCCTCTCTTCCTTTCTGAGCTACAGGATCTA